GTAACTGAACTATATAAACTAATGTACGTAACTGTTATTCATGGTTTTTTTTTTCAAATATTTAAATATATTATTAATTATTAGTTACTAAACCATTAAATAAGTAGAAATCCTTCATATTATTTTTCTTCTTATCTTGTTTTGTTTCTCATATATTCAGTATCTATTCCGCCATATTGATATCCATAGATAATATTATTAATATTATATTACTCTTCAATAGCGAGTAGTGAGATACCTCATCTACCTATCTGGCAAGTAATTTTTAAAACAATTTAAACTAATTTACTGTTAATTTTATTCCAACAAATAGATAACAATAATCCAAGTGTGTAACACTCGTCTTTGTTGTRTATTGTGTGTGCTGTACTTAGAATAATGTTAATCTTATTGTAGATTGGTAAATCGCATCACTATTTAATGRCAACTTATCTCATGATCGTGCTTTATCGTTTTATTTTGTGACAGACTGTCAGGCGAATTAGTTGGGAATTATATATGCATAACTTATAAGCTAAATTATTAAACACCTAGTCAGTGAGATTATTATAATATGTTTTCTGATGTTTTATATCAAATCCTTATGCCACATGATGTGGATACCAGTGGTTGACTTGGAAATAAAGTAGTAGAGGTACTCTTGCTACTTTTAAAATGTAGCGTCCCTAGCATTTTAATAAAACTTACATAAAGTTAACATAACAATCCGTCCCATGCGTTCCYCTTTAAAAAAGAAGTAAGGGTACGCTAGTGTATCCAAAAAATTAGTTGAGGTACTCAGTCCCCCCTCCCAAGACAACCACTGGTGGATACAGAACACATAATAATTATATATAAACGAGAAYACCAGAACTGTATGGTAGATATAGAATAACCTCAAATCGAAGAAATACTGTTAACTAATAAACAATGTACCAATTGGTCCAATTGTTATGTTAATAATACATATTATTCTTAAAATGGGACWAGTAATCAAGAACAATGGACAAATATAATCATTTAAAAAGTGTTGTTACTGGCTGAGTGGGTAGACCACCCACCCGCGCTTTTATAAGTATGGTCTATTGGTCTTATTTAATAAATCTTTGGGTCTAAATAACAATTTTTACTAGATATCAGTTTACTGGAAAAAAAAATCAAGATTCATAAAACATAGATACTTCATATGTATTCGCTATTTTTGATACATTTTTCAAGTTTTCCTTGAAAGCAATACTGAGAAATACAAAAATATTTTCGTTTCGACTGCTATATGTATGTGTGTTCATTTTCTAATCAATAACTACGTATTTTTACTTTTTAGTTTCTACCAGTCCCTAAAATTGTGTGTAGTACGAAAAATTCAGTGTGTAGTACGAAATTTAAAAGTGTGCTATTCACATTAAACGTTTATAATAATATTCTATAAAATTTTAAAACAACAATATTAATACAGGATATCACTAACAGTAAGTTCTTCGACCACAAAGAATAATAAAAAAAAAAACTATAATTTACAGACTTAATATAGATAATTTGAATTTATTTATATTTATTTACACATATTATGTATTATTATTTCCATGCATTTTGTATACTTAAAATGAGTTTTNAAAAAAAATCAAGATTCATAAAACATAGATA